TTAATTGAAAAGCTGTGTAATTTAATTGAGCCTAGTGCATTAATCTAGACTAAACCATCACAGATGATCAAGATATTGCAAGATAAATGGTGTCAAGAAAGAGATGGAGAACAAAGAATCGGCCCCATATTTCAATTTTTGGACCTTAGTAGTAATCTTTGTAAATTATTATTCCAAGCTCAATAAATTAACCATATCTTGGAAAAGCTAATATTGGTTGCATTAGTATTTAACTTATTAAAATTATATTCGTGTTCGTCTTTAATTGGTGTACTTTTATTGTTTCGCTTTTGCTTTCCCATGCAGACTTATTTAATAACGATAATAAATGAATATCACAATTATTGGATAAACAAAAAAAAAAAGACAAAACTCTTTTTAGACGAAAAGTTTAAAACTCTGTCGTAGGCATTCACGAAAGTGTCTTTTTTCCTTAAATTTTTAAATGTTGAGTAGGTGAGAATTTCTTTGAGTGATAAATTTGGGGTAAAAATAAATAAATCCGGCATCCAAAATTTAATATCTTTTTCTTTTCCCCTTTTAGCATGTCGTTGTTCTATCTTCACCAATAAGAATTACATGTCATGAACTAGGGCTGCAAACGAATCGAGCCACTCGTTGTTGAAGAAGGAAAAAGTTGAGTCGACTCGTTGTTGAAGGCCAACAACTACAATCATCTATTTTCCATGAGGATGAAACTTTAAAGATTATTTGAATCTGTCAGTCAAGGCTATGAACTCGTTGATTACATATCTGTATAGTACTATGCAGTTCAGAACATTTAAGGACATTACAGACGTATTATTGCCTCAAACTTCTATAGCCTAAAAGGATATAGTGTGTCTAAAAAGCTAGACCGAATAGCTGTGATGGTTCTCTAACATGCCTGATTTTTGGACCTCGCCATTCACAAATATATACCCATTTTTTCTCATACACATGTTGGCTTCTCTAGTTTAATAGGAATAACACAATTATTTGTATAAACTCGATCTACCAGTGTACTTGTATTTTTATAGATTTTCTTACATTATCATAAATCACCTATTATCACTTTTCTTACATCTTCACATCATATGACTATTGCATATGCCACATGACGTGTAAGTAAATTGTAGACTAAGCCTATATAGATATTTTTCTATGAGCGAATTCATTTTTGAACATAACAATCGCCCAAGAAATTTGGTGGTTTTTTGCATCAATGCAGCTACTAAATTTTATCACTTGGAGGCCTTGTTTTCTTCCTATGAAAGTCACGCAGGAACAATTGATCCAATGAAAATGCCTTCCATCACCTCTCATCAAATTAAATACTAATGATTCCTCCAAAGGAAATCCCAGAAGAGCAGGAACAGGATGATTGTTCACGAATCACCATGGAGATTGAACGTTAGGCTATAGCAGGAATTGGCATCACTACTTATTCGGTTGCTGAAGCATATGGGCTATTAGAGATGGTCTTCAACTTGTTCAAAACAATCATTCTCACCTTGTTATAGAATCTGATTCATAGGCTATGTATGGTCTTCTTAATGCTAATCACACTGATAATCATCTTTTGTTTCCGATAGATTGTGGGGTTTTAATCAGTCAACTGACTCAGGTTAATGACCCGACATGGTGCAGAACTGCAGATCAACCATCAGGAGAATGCCTTTTTTTCATCAATCTCCTTTCCTTTCCCTGTTTATTTGTACAGAACTCTACTTAGTTAATTAATGCAACTTCTTTTTCCTACCAAAAAAAAAAAAAGTATTTATTAGTGCAGCAATTAGTTGGGGAAAATGCAAAGAACGAAAATCAAATGTTTTTGTCTTTTTCTTGTACCTTATAGAATCAAGACGCACCAATCTGATCTCGAACCACTACTTAATCAGTTTTTAGCTTGAAGTAATCACAAGGCTGCTACATGATGAATTTTACAGGGACAAGAAAGATAAGATTAGGCAATTTTCCCCTAAAAAATTTAGCATGTCCACCTCAAATCATATTACCAATTTAGCACCAATTACAGAAAGCTTAAATAGATAGAAAATGCTCTAGCATAATAAGGGGTGAATAGCAAATCATCCCCTGTATTTATGAAATACACAGATTACCCTTAAAGGCTAATAGTTAAACACCAACTTTAACCTTCCGCCTATGCAACTAGCAAAAAAATCATCATACCATCGGATAATTTATCTATTTACAATTGTACCCTTTTGACGTCAAAAAGTAAAAATCTCATTCCAAATTTGCTCTTCTAGTGGAGGAAAACTATCATGTGATGGGAAAAAAATGTGCTTCTGCGCAATTCATCTGATATGCATTATTAATGAAAAAGCCATTTTTTTTAATAAATTCTGGTGTTTCATGTGTATTTTACAATTTCCACAAATTCCGGTGCTTCATGTGTATTTTAGTTTTCTTGTTGTTAGCTCTTTTCATGAAAAAAGTGTATGTGCGCATATGGTTCTCAATGTTGAATATCCTTTTTTTTTCTGTATTTATTTGTCTCTTCTTTATGTCATTTTGGTAGTGCCATGCATGTCCTCTTCTTTATGCCATCTTGTCTCTACTTTTTGCTTTTTTTTCCCCTCTAGTGAAAGCCTGAAAACAACCAAACAAAAAGAGATGGCTAACTGTGGAGAGGATAATCAAAAGTTTCTCTTATCATTTGTCCCAATCAATTAAACTAATCTTAAAGTAATACAAAATAAGAATTTGAGAGAATTTTATGTCTGTAATCTTCATAGTGTTTGTGATATGCTTCTAGAATCCATTGCCAAATTTTATTTGTCCCTGCTGCATCTTTCGAGTTTCGGGATCCCTAGCTGAATGTAACATATACACAGTATTGAAATGAAAGAACTAAAATAGATGGTTTGCTTACTATCTTTCAACTACTTTATGAATAACAACACTAGATTACATGATCCTAAAATGAATCGCAAGAACGAAAGAAATCTCTCTTATTTATTGGAAATCCCAACAAAAGCTGTGTAAAATTGATAAAACAACAATGAGAAAAGCTCTAGGATTTGACCTATTTATAAGCTACAGCGTTTATTAGTCAAAAGAACGAAAAAAATAAAACGATGCGACTGATAAAGTCTGATGTGAAGACCGGTTATTGAACCGATGACGATCTTTGAGCTTCAGCAATCCGACAGAAACTAGAATAAGTCGGGCGCCATCTCCCTAAGCCATGCCCGGCCGCCGATGTCAGCTGGTCTTCAACTTCGCCTGCGGCTCTTCTTCGAGCAATCCCACTTGGCCAAAAACTGGTTTGATATGTTTTCTACGTCATCATGACCTCAGCTAAAAAGTTACAAAAGAGAAAAAGAAAACGATTAAAGAGGAATTTTCATCTCTTTTTGCTTTTAATTATTCTTTTTTCACTAATCAAACTATATGACTTTAGAAAATTGTATTACAGAGAATGTACTTCATGAATTAAAAACATGGAATGAAAAAACAAAAAAGGAAACAAAGTAATATAAAATATCAGTAAATTACATTAATCTCCTCTCCAGTTTTTGTAAAAGTTAGGGACTTTTCCTCTTGATTTTGGAATAACAAGAACTTCCTCTCTTTATTGTTAGATAATAAAAACTTTTCCATCATTATTAAGGGAGAAAACTTAGCTATTTTTGTCATAAACTCAATTCAAAGTCCCCAATTTACCCTTGCAATTACATAAGTAATTATTTCCAAGAAAAATTAAGAACAAGAGAGTGGAGCTTTTTTTTTTGAACTTTATAATCATAACCTATTGTTCACATGTAATTGTATAGCCATAAAAGTTGGCCCTTCATCATTTCTTTCTTTTATTTTTAGATTAAGTGTGTGTATTTTCAAAAGTAAGTCCTTTATAATTTTTTTCTACTTTACCATAAATAAGTTGATATCTTGAATCTTTTACGTAATATTTATGTACATAAAACTTGAAATTTCAAAGTATTAATATATTTCATAAAGGTACAATTGTGACACCTCATTTTATTGTAGTCAAGTTTGTTATAGAAGTAGATACACATGCAAATCTATTTATTTTGTTAGGTAAGAACAAAAAATAAAATAAAAAAATATCGGAGCTCTCCAATTTTCATGCATTAAAGTCACTTATTCTTGGTTTTTTATTTTTCTTTTCCGAGAGAACTAATATTCTTTGTTTTGAAATAATTTCTTTTGTTTAATATGAGATAAAATGTAAAAAATTGAAATCAAAACTATTATAAATGTTTGCTTGATAGAAAACATTGATAAAGAATGTTTGTGTCAAAAAAATAATAATAAGGTTTGTGTTATTTTGGCATTAAGAGGAGAGGTCCTTAACTTTCGCAAAATCTAGTGGAGAGATTCACTGGAAATCTCTAAAAGAGCCTCATCAAAGTTTTATACTTTATCCTTATTGTTGTTTCTGTTGAAACATAATAGAAGAAGAATGAAAAAATGGAATGACTAGCTTAGCCCAAGATGCTAGAGATCAAATACATGCACCTACCGTGGTGATTCACGCACTATTGCAGCAAACGGATTGAAGCTTTTGACTACAGGCTAAAACCAAGTTGGTAGCCCAACTTATGGCCAGAGCTGAAATTAATTCATCCTATTATTTGATTTGACATTGATTTCCACTTTATAGAACGCTCAAATACTTTTGTGTAGGTACTGTATTAATTAATTAAATAATTCTGAATTTTTTGTTTTTTGTACACAAATGTAAACCTTTTGCATTAATATCTATGAAATTGATCAATATCTGCCTTCTTGTCTGCATAATTTATGTATGTTTGCCAATGAGCTAGCCAACTTTTTGAATGGAATCCAATTATTTAGACAAGTTTGTAGCAGTTTATTCTGATGAATTTCCCTTATATTTTCAAATTCCAACCAACTCTATGAACATATGTCTATATGGTTCTTTTTTTTTCCTTTCCTTTTTGGGTTTTATATGTCTGTATCGTGTATATTAATGCTAGACATCGAAACATATACTACCATATCTCTCTCACTCAGTAACCTCAATCCTACTGAAATCCTCCCGTCTCTCTCTCTGGAAGTCTGGACCAGCCATGGATTACAACACCAGGAAAAGTCTCTGCACCTTCATGGATGAAGAAAGAAAGGCCAAGCAATCCCCTCCCCGTCTCTCCTTTAAATCCTTTGAGCAGATATCTGATCGAGATCTCAATTATAGCCATTCAAGATCTTCATCAACTGCTGCAGGTATGTATTCATTAATGCCACCTCCTAGTCCAGACTCGCCCTGGACACTCTCACCCCTTCAAACACCATCGCCATCTGTCCTCTACCATTGCATCGCCTCGCTCCATCGCCATGAAGGAATCATCTATTCCATTGCCGTTTCGCGAGGGACAGTCTATACTGGCTCCGAGAGTAGCCGGATTCGTGCATGGCGACAGCCGGACTGCACTGAAAGAGGGTACATCAAAGCCAATTGTGGCGAAGTCCGTGCAATATTAGCTTATGGAAACATGCTTTTTACATCACATAAAGATTGCAAAATCCGCATGTGGAATGTAACAGCTTCTGAGAATTTCAGGGCTAAAAAAATAACTACAATGCCAAGGAATAGCTCGATTTTCTTGTTTAATTGGTCGAGTGGACAGCAACATAGAGATTGCGTTTCTTGCATGGGATATTATCATGCAGAAGGACTTTTGTATACTGGATCATGGGATAAAACAGTGAAGGCATGGAGGGTTTCCGACGGTAAATGTGTGGATTCATTTCTTGCTCATGAAGATAGTGTAAACGCAATTGTTATCAATCAAGAAGATGGATGTGTATTCACTTGTTCATCAGATGGTTCTGTGAAGATATGGAGGAGGGTTTATGACCAAAGCTCTCATACTCTCACCATGACATTGAAATTCCAACCATCCCCGGTCAATGCTCTAGCCTTGAGCACCTCACATAGCTTTTGCTTCCTGTATTCAGGATCATCAGATGGATTTATCAACTTCTGGGAGAAGGAGAAAATGTCTAGTCGATTTAATCATGGAGGGTTTCTTCAAGGACATAGGTTTGCTGTTCTTTCTTTGGTTGCTATTGAGAAACTAATATTCAGTGGATCAGAGGACACAACCATCAGGATTTGGAGAAGGGAGGAAGGGAGTTATTATCATGAGTGTCTTGCTGTCTTGGATGCTCATAGGGGGCCAGTCAGATGCCTGGCTGCTTGTTTGGAGGTTGACAAATTAATGGTGATGGGATTTTTGGTTTATAGTGCTGGCTTGGACCAAACTTTCAAGTTGTGGAGAGTGAAGGTTTTGCCTGATGAAAAGAATGTATGCATGGAAGGTACAGGTAGAAGTGATAAGATGAGGATTACAGAGTATGAGATGAGTCCTGTTCTGTCTCCTTCATGGGTTGAAAAAAAGAGGCAAGGTAATCCAACATGATGCAGTATTACTTGTTTCCCCTGAAGACAAGAGAAGGGCTTGACATGCATGCACTGGAACAGTATACTCTAGACTCTACCCTGCTAGTAGAAACAAATATGTATCCTTTTATCTATTTTTTTTTCTTTGGTTGATATCATAAGCATTATTGGTAAGATAATCATTCTCATATCAAAAGAAATCTATAGCATTTCATTACCTTACTCATATATGCTCTCGCATTTCGCCAGGGTTTTCAGGATATGGAATTTTTTGCCACTTTGACCCATGTTAACCATGATCATAATAGCAAATGTTTCATGTTTCATGTAAAGTTGGAAAGGCAACGAGGTATGGGATACTTCAATAGTAGCTAGCTTTAAGAGTCTGGCACTCCTTTTGTCTCAAAATTACAGTCATTTTTGCGCGAATCCAAGTTCTTATAGATGCAAGTAATGATTATAGTGTAGATGAGTGATTGTAAGAAAATTTACAATTTAACCTTGTAATCAAATTATGTGCAGTGCCTTGGTATATGTTAAAGTTAATTTTTCAGTTGCAAAATAGGTGATTAGTGTGTATACACATATGTATATATGAATGCATTTATGTGTGTGTGTGTGTTATGTCTTCAAATATATATATAAAAACATGATTTATGTATTAGAACATCAAAAAAGTAGAAACATGATAGTAACAATGGAGGGAGGAAGTATATAATTGAGACATCTGATCAATGAGACTTGAAACATAATTATCTTCAAGAAGAGTAAGTTAACCACTACTCAAGACACTAAACCAAAGATTTATTTAATAAAAATCTAGACAAAAGCACAGGGAAGAAAGTTAGCAACACTTTTCCTTTTCCTTTTTTTTATGTTGTTCCCTTCCCTCTATATATAAGAATTTAAATATTTTTTCTTACACCCAACCATCAAAATTTGCAAATTTTCCAGATAGTATATCAAGACACCTATAAGCGGTTACATTTTTCAACATCAAAATGGGGCCTTTTTACTTCATCTTACAGAGAACTACTAGTTACATCTCCTATACGCTTTTTCAGCACTCAAACAAAATCAAAAGAACCCTTGGATTCTCTCTTGTGGTAGCTATTAACATGAATCTATGTCAACGTCGTTATCTGCTTTAAAAGGTACTAAAACTGAAGTGAATAAACCTATGGTTTTAGTTGTAGCTAAATTGTATAGATGGTAATGACTTGATAAGAGATTGTTGTTGCCATTTATGAACTGGGAGATGGGCATTTTATTTTTCTTGCATAACTGGGGCCTAGGCCACTATTGCACTAAATTTAGAGATACACATTTAACAGGAATGGATCTTATGCTCTTCACATCCCCAATTGGACATTGAAACAACTGAAATGAGTAGTTATCAAAAATGATGGGGGGAATGGAAAAAAAAAAAAATTTGTGCACTCAACCAAGTAGCACTGTCAAGTAATTGAGGTCGTTGTTGTTATTAATACAACTACTCGAAGCAATTATAACAGGTAGTTTCAGTATTTATTTTCATTGATAATTTTGTCCCTGTATGTGGTTGTGAGCGCAATTCATACTAGTTTTTCTGTGCCCGGTATTGCTTAACTTTTAAAAGATTGGATAGGGCAGACTCATGATTCTGCATGTCAACTTTTTGTTTATTAAAGATAGATATAGGGCAAATACAGTTGTCCTGGATTTCCTTCAACATTTTCAAAAAATTTGAGTTAGGCCTCAAATAATGTCATGTAACTTAGTCCCTGATTTTCAGAATTTAGTTTTAAAGAGCCTTGAAATTAATACTGATGTCACTTACTGTAAACATGTGCAGACAGCTGGATTACTATATTATACAAAAATTGCATCCCATGGAAAATTGACTAATTCAATCAGTAATATTTGCAATGTTAAGGGACTAATAAAAAGACGAACCAAAAGTTCACCAACTTTATGCCTAATTAATTTGTTGTTTACTTTTTATCTTATTCTTGCCCGTGTTAATTTACAAGAAGTGAGATCAATTAGAAGAATTTGTGGACAAATGTCGTTGAAAATTCACCTCCATATTTTGAAGTTTAGGGACCAAATAAGTCCCTATCAAATAAATGTTTAGGGACATATATTTGAGAAGCCAGGAAATCCTGGCATTTGATGCGGGCAAGGTGATTTTGATCCTCCAATCAGTACCTCGAAAGGGACTTAAAGGCCGTCATAGTAGCCACTTGGGTGTGGTAACTCGTTAGAAAAAACCTTGTTATAAAATACCAGCCACAACATATTAGTCATATATAGAGCTGTTAAATGAAACGAGCAGCTCGAAAACTCGATTGAATTCGACTCGATAAGGCTCGAGCTCAACTCGTTAATTGTGGTAAACGAGTCTAGCTCGAGCTCGAGATATGCTTGTTTAATTAACAAGTCGAGTAAGCTCAACTCGATTGTTATCTGAGTAGCTAGATTATACTCGATAAGGAATGATATATATGTCATTTCACAATTCAAAAGCATAAAAATTGAAAATTATAGGTTTTTATTTGGGTTGATTTGTATGAGCTCGAATTCGAGACACATGTCCCATTTGGCGAGTCGAGTTCGAACACATTTCAAAGCTCGTCCACCTAGTCAAGCGAGCTCGAGCTGGGCAGCCAAATACTCTGCTCGACTTGACTTGATTTACAGCTCTAGTCATATACTTATGAAATGTAATTGCTTGTTTTTTGACCCAACAGAAGCTACTAAGAAACATAGGTTACATATATTTTGTACAATAAGGAGAGGAGAAAATTTAGAATTCACTGAACTTAGATTACATAAAAAAAATTATAACAGATACCTGATAAGCAAAACTCATCAAGGCTAACAGAACAAGTCTGTCCAAGGGCAACATATTACATATAGAGCAGGATTTGGAATCAACTAGAAACAACTTCCACAAGATCAGAAAGTTTCATCATTTGAAAGTGGCACATGAGACCTAACAATGAAGAAATTCTCATAGACAAAGCCTGCAAGCCCACCTCCGATAAGTGGGCCAACCCAGTAAACCCAGTGATCGGTCCAGTTTCCACTCACCAAAGCCGGACCGAACGACCTCGCAGGGTTCATGGAAGCCCCTGAGAAAGCCCCACCTACCATGATGTTTGCACCAACAACTAGCCCAGTAAGAAGTGGGCCCAGCCCATCGAGGTTTCCCTTCTTGGGGTCCACAATTGTAGCATAAACGGTGAAGAGCAGGGAAAATGTCAAAATAATCTCCATTATCACGCCTTGCGTGTAGTCTACCCCACTTGCAAGTGTATGTGGTGGAGTTGTCTGCGGAGAAATCAATGTAGAAACAAATTAAGTCCTATCAAAGTAGGAATCTTGGAACATTTTGCTTTCTTGATTTTGTCATTTTTGCAATTAAAATGCAAAGAGAATGCTAGGATGCTGGTAATAAAATAAAAGGCAAGTAGGAGGGAAAACAAAGATATGGGGAGGATTGGATTCGATAGTAAAAAAGTAGGGATGATAAGCTGAAAGTTTTGAAAAATAATTTATAAACACCGTATAAATAAAATAAAGATTTGCACTTTTCACAAACTACATGGTATAGGGGAGTCCATAAATCAAGTTTGCCTAAATAATTTTTTTTTAAATTAAAATAGCTTAGTTATATGGACAAATTTTTTGGTGGAATAAATAGACGTCATAATTGCTAAGGGACCTTGGTCTATTAATATTTGTTGTCCTTTTGTTTCAACGACAACAATATATTCTTACTTCTTGACTATGGAAAATGAAAAAACCTAACTAGACTTTGTATAGAGGTTGGTGGGAGAGAAAACCTACTTCTAACAGCACAAATTAATGAACCAGAACTACTACACTTTTTGAATTTTGTTAAAGAAAGGGAAGTATTATGCTCTCTCTTAATGTATTAGATGAAATATGAACCTCTGACCTAGTATATGAGAAATCTCTAAGAAGTTCTCTCTGACTATTGGATCAAAGTCCAATGTTTCTGAGTCTATTAATCAAGATTAAGAGGTCGTAGGGCAACTCTCATCAAATTGTAAGTTATTCTAACGTAGACCTAGTAATTCACGAAGTCAAATACCAAATTACAAAATGAGTGCAACTGTACTTACAAGTCCTCCGGTGAGATACTTGAGCAAAGCACAAGCAGCTGCAGAAGCTAAACACTGATCAATCCAGTAAAGAATTGATCGGACAACGGTGATATGGCCACCGACACAAAGGCCAAGAGTGACAGCAGGGTTGAGATGGCCACCGGAAATGCGGAAGCCAGCTGAGATCATCACAGCCACCACCAAAGTGTGCGCCAATGCCACGAAAAACAGCCCCGTCAGCGGACTCCCACTCAGTTTATCTGCCCAATAAAATCAATGTACAAGGCATATGTATACTTTGAGTTTCTTGATTGACAATAATCATTCAGGAGTTTGATCTTGGGTTCCTAAAAATCTTATCAAATTTTAATCTTTACATTTTGAAACCAAATATCAAAAGAAAAAATTCATGTCATGAGTCAATTTGAACATGTTTCAACGTTGTTTTGTCAAGCCCACACCGTGTGCAAAGAAATCGAGATCATACCTGCAGTCATGGCTGATCCAACACCAGCAAAAACAAAGAGAAAGGTGACAATGAACTCAACAACCAGAGCTTGAAAGACATCAGGCTGGATTGCCTCCCGGCCGTTTCCAAGAGCGATTTTGGCCATGATCTGAGTCACCGAAAAAAAAAAATGGTGGCCTAAGCTCAATGCTCGGTGCTCGTGCCTAATGACTAGTGAGTCAGAAGTGAGTATTAGTGAGTAGACACCCGTGGAGAAAGATATTGAGGATTATATAAAGGACAAGGAGTGAGATTAAGATTCCATTATTGCACCACTTGCCATCACGTTCAAAATTTGGATGGTTGTGGCATGTTATGAATTATTACGTTGATGGTGTCCAATTACATGTTTGTCCGCTGACTTCAGCTCAAATTCTTTGCATTGCCATTCTCCATCAAAAGCTACATTTACTGTTAATCATGCATTGAGGGATTAATTAAGGTAGAGTAAAAAATCTGGGGAGTCCTTAAATTATTACTTTTAGTTCCTCATCTAAATTTCATTTTTTACTGATCCTTAAATAATTAAAAATACATACTTTAAGACTTCCCATAAATTTAGGCATGAATGTGACAGAATTTAAAGGGCATTTTCGTCCGTTCATATTTGAAACACCGGCACCTGCAACTACTCATTTTGTCCGTTCATGTTCATGCAAGCTTTTTTTTGGGACCAAAGCTACCTTCGCCAACCCTTGCCAAGGCTTCACCTCCTTCCTCCAAGGCGCCACCTGCAACAACGGCCGCATTTACAAACTCTCCCTAAAGGGCTCCATCTCCCCCAATATCTCCAGCTGTACTAATCTCCAAGCACTCGACCTCTCCCACAACGCCATCTCTGGCCCCATC